TATGGGATTTTTTTTTTATTTTGTTGAGGATTTTTTGGGGGGATTTTTGGAGTCATTTGGGGGGATTTTTATGGAGATTTTAATGAGATTTTTGGAGGATTTTAATGGGATTTTAAAGGGATTTTAATGGGATTTTAATAGAATTTTACGGTATTTTAATGGGATTTTTCGGATTTTTCCGGGGATTTTTGGGGAGATTTTTGTGGGAATTTTTTGGGGTTTTTGGGGGAATTTTGGGGGGGTTTTTGGGGTTTTTGGGGAGGGGTCTCTCACCCTGGGGGGGTCCCCGAGGCGCGCGCAGAGCAGGAAGCTGTGCAGGTCGCCGTGGGCCATGAAGGGCAGCAGGACGATGGGGGGAGGGGGCGGCCCCTCCCAGCCCCTCCCCCACGGCTGCAGGCACACCCCTGGGGGGGGGAGGGGAGGGGTCAGAACTGCACCCCCCCAACCCCCCCAAATTTGGGGTTCAGGACTCCCCAAATCGGGGATCAGAACCCCCCGAAATGGGGATCAGAACCCTGAAAATTGGGGATCAGAACCCCCAAAACTGGGAACAGAACCCCCAAAATTTGGCATCAAAACCCCCCAAAATTGGGCTCGGAGCACCCCAAAATTGAGGCACGGAACCCCCAAAATTTGGGCACTGAACCCCCAAAATTTGGGATCGGAACCCCCAAAATTGGGGAACAGAACCACCCAAAATTGGGGAAGGGAACCCCCAAAATTGAGGCACAGAACCCCCAAAATTTGAGATCGGAACCCCCAAAATTTGGGCACTGAACCCCCCAAATTGGGGAACGGAACCCTGAAAATTGGGGATCGGAACCCCCCGAAATGGGGGCAAAATTTAGGAACAGAACCCCCAAAATTGGGCTCAGATCACCCCGAAATTTGGGCGCAGAACCCCCAAAATTGGGGAACTGAACCCCCAAAATTGGGGAACAGAAACCCAAAAATTGGGGCACAGAACCCCCAAAATTTGGGTTCAGGACGCCCCAAAATTGGGGTAATAAACCCCCCGAAATTGGGGCACAGAACCCCCAAAATTTGGGCTCGGAACCCCCAAAATTTGGGTTCAGGACGCCCCAAAATTGGGGAACAGAACCCCCAAAATTTGGGATCAGAACCCCCCAAAATTTGGGGCAAAGAACCCCCAAAACTGGGGATCAGAACCCCCCAAAATTGGGGAAGGGAACCCCCAATATTTGGACCCAAAAGCCCCCGAAATTGGGGCACAGAACCCCCAAAATTTGGGTTCAGGACGCCCCAAAATTGGGGCACAGAACCCCCAAAATTGGGGCATCGAAACCCCAAATTGGG